TTAAGCAGATATATGTAGACTATCTTATCACTATAAACAAGGGTCAAGCAGATATGTGTAGACTATTTTATCACTATAAACAAGTGTTAAGCAGATATATGTAGACTATCTTATCACTATAAACAAGGGTCTAGAAGATATGTGTAGACCATCTTATCACTATAAACAAGTGTTAAGCAGATATGTGTAGACCATCTTATCACTATAAACAAGGGTCTAGAAGATATGTGTAGACCATCTTATCACTATAAACAAGTGTTAAGCAGATATATGTAGACTATCTTATCACTATAAACAAGGGTCTAGAAGATATGTGTAGACCATCTTATCACTATAAACAAGTGTTAAGCAGATATGTGTAGACCATCTTATCACTATAAACAAGGGTCTAGAAGATATGTGTAGACCATCTTATCACTATAAACAAGGGTCTAGACCGGCCTAGTAGTTAACGTACAGTACTGTGGACCTTAGATTCCGCACTTTGCGTCTATTTACAACCCCCTTTTCTTCCCCAAATAGCGTTCGGTACTTTAGAGCAGTGGTTAGGTTGAGTTATTGGAGTGATAATCAAATCCCATTATTCGGTCTAACAAGAGTAGCCCAACAGTTAAGGGTGGGTAGTGTCGACAAGCTGTCTTCCCTCTAGTCTATTACTTCAAAATTAGGGACGACGTTTTAATAACCTTGTGCAGCTTTGAGCGAAATTCAACATGCAAAATAAACACAAACTATCAACACATATACTTTTTATAAAGCTATTTAAAATATATACTCAACAACCCGTGAAAAGAAAGAAACTTCAAAAACTTTTTTTAACTATGCTTTATATTTATATGTTTATGTGAAATTTGCAATATATTTTATCCCTACAACACATGATAAATACGGAAATTGTGATTTTTACAATTCTTCGTCTACCGTATTTGGCCCGGCATCGCTTGTTGGTTAGGGCGCTCGACTCGCAATCTAAGGGTCGCAAATTCAAGCCCCCGTCCTAACAGACATTCTTGTCCTTTCAACCGTGGGGGAGTTATAAAGTGATGGCCGATCCCACTATTCGTAAGTAAAATATAACCCGAAAGTTGGCGTTGGCTAGCTGATTTCCTTCTAATGTATCATTACTAAATTAGGGACGCCTAGTGCAGATAGCCCTCGAATAGCTTTGTGCGAAATTCGGAAACAAAAGAAAAACAATCCATGGCCTTGAGAAGGATATAAGTTATAAATAAGCAAGCACTAACAAAAATACAATAGCCAAAAGATAAAATCAACGAGAAGAATACGAATTACGATAGTACAAGAAGGTGGAAGAGGTCAACTAGAACCTGACCCTCCCGACCTAATGCAGAAACCCTCTACTGAAATGTGTAAATATATGTTGAACTGTTCGGTATGTGCAGGACTTTGTAACAAAGAATACAAGTGAAAGTATATTTATCACAATGTAGGTACCGACATGGACATTGTCCTGAAAAGGGGTCAGGGTAAGTGCGGTTCACTTAGACCCTCATGTCGTATATATATGGAAGAAGAAGGCTACCTAGCCCCTGACCCTCCCAGGTCTACACAAAGACCTAAAACCCGATGCCGAAAGAACAACAACCGTCTTTAAAACCTTACATACCTCAGTCAGTTGGGAGAAACGTATTAATTTCTTAACTGCTAATCAGCAGCTTCTGATCAAAGTAGGCTATCCACATAAATACATACTTCAGTCTTAAGAAATTAATACGTTTCTCCAAACTCTGCTAATCAGCAACTTCTGATCAACGTAGGCTATCTACATAAATACATACCTCAGTCAGTTTGGAGAAACGTATTAATTTCTTAACTGCTAATCAGCAACTTCTGATCAAAGTAGGCTATCTACATAAATACATACTTCAGTCAGTTGGGAGAAACGTATTAATTTCTTAACTACTAATCAGCAACTTCTGATCAAAGTAGGCTATCTACATAAATACATACTTCAGTCAGTTTGGAAAAACGTATTAATTTCTTAACTGCTAATCAGCAACTTCTAATCAAAGTAAGCTATCTACATAAATACATACTTCAGTCAGTTTGGAAAAACGTATTAATTTCTTAACTGCTAATCAGCAACTTCTAATCAAAGTAAGCTATCTACATAAATCAGAACTAAAAATACGCTCATTAACGAATATAAAAAAATTAATATGCCGTTACTAATATGAGCATGCTAAGTCATAAAACAAAAACTTACAATGGTTAGAATGCATTGATTTATCACTCGGATATCCTCGCTATTAACGATATCCTCGCTATTAACAATATCCTCGCTATTAACGATATTTTCGTTAGTAAAATAACTAATTTCTCACCAGATTCGGCCAGTTTAGGAGATTTAGTTTAGTCCTAAATATAAATACTAAACTAACAATGCAACAAAATAATCCTAATCATAAATAATACGTATATATAAATATTAAAATAAATAAGTAAATAAAAATAAATTTATTATACATATTAGACATTTTACTTATTTCTGTTATTGAAAGAACGTTAAAGAACAGATATGAATATAACACATATAAAAAACATATAAAACTAATATTTTACATTTAATAGCAAATCTTCTTTAATAAGCTGTTATGAAATGATTCCAAAGTAAAAAAGAATTAAATATTTTATGCGCAACATCCTAAATGTTCCACTTCTTTATTGTTAACTAAGCGTTAAATATTAATTTTTAGATATTTAGTGGGGTTTTTTTTTCTAACTTACAGGGGTAACTAAATAGCTGTAGAGTTTCTGATTGGTTAGAAACTTAGGAAGCACACATTCATGTCCGATAAGAGGTATAACATAATAAGGAACTGTATTAACCCTTGCAACACTTGAATGGATAACACAATAAGGAACTGTATTAACCCTTGCAACACTTGAATGGATAACACAATAAGGAACTGTATTAACCCTTGAAACACTTGAATGGATAACACAATAAGGAACTGTATTAACCCTTGCAACAATTGAATAGATAACACAATAAGGAACTGTATTAACCCTTGCAACACTTGAATGGATAACACAATAAGGAACTGTATTAACCCTTGCAACACTTGAATGGATAACACAATAAGGAACTGTATTAACCCTTGCAACACTTGAATGGATAACACAATAAGGAACTGTATTAACCCTTGAAACACTTGAATGGATAGCACAATAAGGAACTGTATTAACCCTTGCAACACTTGAATGGATAGCACAATAAGGAACTGTATTAACCCTTGCAACACTTGAATGGATAGCACAATAAGGAACTGTATTAACCCTTGCAACACTTGAATGGATAGCACAATAAGGAACTGTATTAACCCTTGCAACACTTGAATGGATAGCACAATAAGGAACTGTATTAACCCTTGCAACACTTGTTGACATCTAAAAGCTGTAAAGAGAGTACTGTAACTAATTGTATTCTGTCCCCACTGGTTGATACCCTCTCATCGCTGGTTGAAATCTTCTCCCATTTAACAGAAACCATCTCATCATCGATAGGAAGTCTCCACTTTCTAGTAGGTATTCTTTAATCACTACCAAATACTATCTCAGCAGTATCTCAACATAAGCTTACGTAAGGGCTTTTTTCTTACGTGTAGCAAGGATTTCTCATAGTTAGAACATTTTAACTACGTGGAAGGTGTACAATGAAGTATACATGCTTCTGTAACAATTCACATTAAATTTCCTACTTTTGAGCAGATATGCAGATATAGTTGGTCATATCCTTCATTTATTTTTCTCCAAGTTCAATAACGCTGCTACATAATTTATTCCAATTACTTTGTTTGTTTGTTAAGCACAGAGCTACACAATGATCTATTGTGCTCCACCTCCCCCGGGTATTGAAACCAAACCCAATTTTTAGCGTTATGAGCCCAACCTAAGCAATCTACACTACACACATAGACCAAACATAATAATTAAAAACATAAACAAATATTGTGATCTATTCATGGTATAATGTATATCAGGTATACAACAATGATGCCAAGTTCCTGTATTGTTATCATTAAATACATTGTAATTGAATGCGAATTCGAAATGTTTGTTGGTCTAAATGTTTAAAATTAATTGGACATTATCACCTCTTACTTAAATCTTCACTAAGTATCTAAAACACCCACCCCCATAATGTAAAAATCACGTTTCTACAGAAATAAATCATTCGTTTATTTATGCCTATGTTTGTGTTTAGAAACAAAATGATGAGTTTAAAATATCTTTATTTTACACTAGCTCTTGGCCTCTTAAATTCGATCGAAGTTTGTTTAAACTTTGGAAACCACAAACTGGCGCTTTCACTGACACCAAAAACAGTTATAAGAAATACCGCTGTTTTTCCATTGAGTAGCTTGCACACGTTTTATAACTTTCATTAAATTACAAACATAAACTAACATAGATTTACTAACAATTACTTTATTCACCTAATAGAAACGGTAATTTATCCTAAGAACTCATGGGCTTAGACTAATTGCTATTGTTTTCAAAGACAGTCCAATAAATACCTGTTTAAAGGCTGGATTTCTTCAATGACAAAACAAGATGAATGTCCGCTTGAAAATAACTCCTGAGATTTAGGAATGTCACTCAGTATTACCCAATCACATTACGTGAAGTCGTAAAATAATAATCATTCACTCTAAATCTAGAACAATAACATATTTGTGCATGTGGTTGAAAGAAGATAATTGAAAAAATACTTAAGTTTCCAAATTCTTTTGTAGACGTAGTTATCACGCACCCGTCCAAAACTTTGGAGTTAGGATGGCGTGGGCGCGTAAAAATGTGTTGATAGAATTAATGAACACTATCTATTGATTCGCTGGCTTCTGTTAGCTCAGTACTTGCTTCTCCATTGGTTGGAAGAAAAGTTAACAACCACGTGCAAGAACGACTAACAGGTACTGACGTCAGAAATGTATTATGATAATAGTAATAGTTGGCCATAAAAGGTAAGACTGATTCAACGAATGTTCATAACCTTACAATTTCAATGAGAGCTGGGGCTGGAGACTTAAGCCAAAGGTAAGCATTCAGACTTGTTCTGTATTTCATGTACTGTTGAAAATGGGTAGGTATTCGTTTGTGAGAAGTTATTTCATGGTTTCACTGTTGGTTCTTCATAAAGAGTTATTGGTTCAGGACACTCTACTTTGCCATATATATTACCGTAGTGGTAATAAAATGATTTGTCTTTTCTCGCAAGGAATGAATAACTAGGAAAAATGCAAAGATCATGAAATAAAGAAATTATATTTTTGGAGATAAATCACCTTAAAATATCAGAGGCTGCTTATCTTAAATCTTATCTGTACTTATAACAACAACAACACCCTGGGCAATTTAAAACTTCCATCGACACCCATCCAACCTCGTTCCAACTAACACAATCCTACTTCCAAAGATCATAAACGCATTCCCTTTACACCTACTTTTCATCCATTCAACACACAAATAACACGTATACTGTAGGACAACTTTCACGTCATAACACAGAACAACACCATTGGTCACATGTTCCCTAATAAACTTCTAATTTCGTATAAACGAGACACTAACATTAAAGATTTATTCGTCCACAGTCAACTTCCTAACAAGATACAACTATCATCTGATACTCATGTTGGTAAGTACAATTATCAGATCAGTAGATGCAACACTTGCCCTATCATCTATCTATTAGAGGCCCTAAATCAACGTTTTCTGTGTATAGCTATTTAATCTGTATATCTAAATGTTTAATTTATTGTATTATTTGTAACAATTGTGAACAAAGCTACGTATCAGAAACCAGCTATATGCCCGCTGAACTCAAATGAGAACATATATCGTGGCACTTCAACAAAGCTGATCACTCCTTTTAAAGTACTTACCCTAAGACAATCATATATCGTGGCACTTCAACAAAGCTGATCACTCCTTTTAAAGTACTAACCCTAAGACAATCAAAGAACCACGATAAGAAAAAATAAATCATTTTCAAATTGGGTTAAGTCCTTTCGATTTCAATGAAAGGCTTTGTTTTATACTTTTTAAAATAACCTTCATTTATTGGCTTCAAAATTGTTTAAGTTATTTATTTCTATGTTTTTAATATTGTTCTTATTGACTGCTTATATATTTTTAATAATTTATTACCTTATTTTTAATCACTAGCTCTTTTCTTCGGCTGTGTTATATTGTCATTATTACTGTATTGTTCAAATAGCTGAAGTACCTGCCCCCTGGAAGGATGTTCTGTAAATTCATGATTAATATTGTTGTTGTTTCTTATTAAGCACAAAACTAGACAATGGGCTATCTGTGATCTGCCCACCAAGGGTATCGAAACCCGGTTTCTAGCGTTGTAAGTCCGCAGACATACCGCTGTGCCACTGGGAGGCCCAGCCGTTGTCTGTTTGTTTGTAATTAAACACAAAGCTACACAATGGACTATCTGTGCTCTGCCCACCACGGGTATCAAAACCCGGTTTCTAGGATTGTAAGTCCGCAGACATTCCGCTGTGCCACTGGGGGGGGGGGGCAGCCGTTGTAGAATCATGGTGTCAGCGACGCACCCGAGAATTCCGTACTTTGACTACATTTGGAGAAACTCCAAACTATAGTAACTATAGTAACTATGGTAACTATAGTAACTACGCCCTTCTGTCATACGTAGAATGATAAATGTAAGTAACTTTAACAGAAAAAATAAATATTCATCCATATTATTAGAAATCCTGAGGTAAATAATGTATTTTGTATCTTCAAAAGAGAAGAGTAATTAGGATCTGTACTTACGTTGACGAAAAACTAAACCTTCCCTTCATTTTTTCAATTAACATGCTAAAATGACTGGACCGGATAAGAGCTGTCTACATTCTTAAAGATTCGTGGTATAGGTTTTCTATTTATTTTTATATTTTGAGATAAGCCTTCCTATTTACTTAAGGTTCAATCTAGTGAACATTTTTTCTAGTTAAAACTTTTCAACATTATCCTATGCCCTCAACTTACAAAAAAATCTCAATTAATCTTTTTACGACAGGCAGGGGGCTTTGGCGCGGATTTACTAACTAGCACTAAAAGTAATTACTTGGCAGTGACGAAAAAGTACACGTAAGGCGGGAAGACTTAACGAAGCTCATTGTATGGAATAACACGCAAAGACCCTCGTTGATTAACACGCATTTTGAATAATTAAAAATAAATCTATTAAAACAAAATATTTTAAATGAGTAAAAAGCAGTTTGTATATTAGTATTACCCAAAAATACGTCATAATGTTACTCAAATATACGAATAATACCGTTTTGCTTGTAATCTGCGTGTTTTAATTGGTATATCTTGTGACAATTCACCGTGTTACAGCGTATAAAATTTAGAGTACGTTGTTAAAATGTAACAAAATCTAGTGTGCATTGTTAAATATAGCCAAATCTAGTGCACATTGTCAAAGTATTGTTGAAACGTAACCAACTTTAGTGTTCATTGTTAAAACGTTACCAAGTCTAGTATATATTGTTAGAATGTAAGCATGTAAACGTTACATTGTTAAAAGATAATTAGTCTAGTAGACATCCTTAAAATGTAACTATGATTAATGTACTTTGTTAAAATGTAACAATGCCTATAGTGTTCATGGTATAAATGTAACCAGAATGAATATTGTTTCCTTAGTATCAGTTTTATTGAAAATTACATCCGGGCTTTCACTGTACTCTTCACACGAAAGATTAGCAGTAACTCTTAAGTAATTTCACAAAAGAAATTTGTAACTCTTTATCACTTCCCAAACATATATTTCTTAACGTTATGAAGTGTTTAAAACCTGTTTATCTTTTGAGGTACGTTTTAACTTGTCGTTACCCCTTAGTTTTTGACACCTTCAAAGTTAAATTTCTCTTGGCACAATATTTAAACCCAGAAAAATAATAAAATCCATCTTTTGGGTTCGATAGGTTAATCATCTGTACTCCAGTTTGGCAAACTATTGTACAAATTTTAAAAATGCTTAAGACAGCGATAGTTACTGTAACACTTTGCCATTTGAGTTAATAGAAAACTGACTTTTTTTTAATGTAATTGCTATATTTTGTTGAACAATTGGGTGCCCCTAATTTAGTATAGTTATTTTTATCATTACCATGTAACTAGATATCAGCTGAAATTAAAATATATATCAACAATATTTATGGTGCAGACAAGTAAATATGGCTAAGAAGACCACAAGTCTAATTGAATTTATTTATCCTAACTTTTAGTTGTTATTGGTTGGTTGGTTTGTTCTTGTGCTCTGGAAAAAAATCATATTTATCGATTCCATAACTAAAAACATTCGTTTATCCAAAACTTTATATACCAACTTTAATTCTCAGTAGTCAAAATGAGGTGTTTTTTTTTTCGTATGTTTTAGTCGGTATTAACCTTTTTCTTGCTCTGGATCAACTTTAGAAATAACATAGAGGTTTTGTTTAATTACATACGTACACAATGGGCTGTCTGAGCTGTGCCTGCCTTAGGGATCGAGCCTCAAATTTAAGTAGTAAAATACCTTAGCTAACCTCTGAGCCAACTAGGTGTCCAGCATAGAGAGGCTTGTAATTGTATTTTATTAAAAGACTGCAAAGAAAATTTACCAATTTAATATTATTTGTTCTTTTAGTGAAAAATTACTCTAGGATGGCTTTTCTAGCAGTACCAATCTCCTGATATGTTTATATTCATGTATAACCTCCTTTCTAGCAGTACCACTCTCCTTATGTGTTTATATATTCATGTATAACCCCATTTCCAGCAGTACCACTCTCCTTATATGTTTATATTCATGTATAACATACTTTGTAGCAGTACCACTTTCCTTATTTGCTTATATTCAGGTATAACCTCCTTTCTAGCAGCATCGCCTTCTTTATATGTTTATATTCGTGTATAACCCCCTTTCTAGCAGTATCACTCTCCTTATATGTTTATATTCGTGTATACCCCTTTCTAGCAGCATCACTCTCCTTATATGTTTATATTCGTATATAACCCCTTTTTAGCAGTACCACTCTCCTTATGTGTTTATATAATCATGTGTATCCTCCTTTCTAGCAGTACTACTCTCCTTATGTGTTTATATATTCATGTATAACCCCCTTTCTAGCAGTACCACTCTCCTTATAAGTTTATATTCGTGTATAACCCCTTTCTAGCAGCATCACTCTCCTTATATGTTTATATTTATGTATAACCTCCTTTCTAACAGTATCACTCTACTCTCCTTATGTCTTTATATTCATGTATAACCTCCTTTCCAGCAGTATCACTCTACTCTCCTTATGCGTTTATATTCATGTATAACCTCCTTTCTAGCAGTATCACTCTACTCTTCTTATGTGTTTATATTCATGTATGACCGCCTTTCTAGCAGTACCACTCTCCTTATAAGTTTATACTCATGTATAACCCCCTGTCTAGCAGCATCATTCTCCTTATATGTTTATATTCATGTATAACCTCTTTTCTAGCAGCATCACTCTCCTTATATGTTTATGTTCATGAATAACCTCCCTCCTAACAGTACCACTCCCCTTATATGTCTATATTCATGTATAATCTCCGTTCTAGTAATACCACTCTCCTTATGTGTTTATATTCAAGACTAACCTCTTTTCTAGCACTACCATTCTCCTTATATGTCTATATATTCATGTATAACCCCTTTCTAGCAGTACCACTCTCCTTATGTTTTTATATTCATGTATAACCTCCTGTCCAGCAGTATCACTCTACTCTTCTTGTGTGTTTATATTCATGTATAACCTCTTTCTAGCAGCATCACTCTACTCTTCTTGTGTGTTTATATTCATGT